TGCCCCCCCCGTGTCCTTGTGCCCCCCCCCATCCTTGTCCCCCTCTCGTCCCCCAAATTTCCCACCCTGTGCCCCCTCCGAACGCCCCAACCCCGAGTCCCCCCCCCGTGTCCCCCCCAAATCCCCGAGCCGCCCCCCCCGTGTCCCCCCCCCTTCACTTACAGGCTCTCGAGACCGAGGGGATTTTCGGGGTCCCCCCCCAGCGCCGCCCCCAATTCCCGCAGCCGCCCCAAAACCTGGGGGTCCCCCGAAAGCTCCCGCGGGAAAGCCCGGACCCAGTACCTGGGGGGGGAGGGGGGCTCAGGGGGGACCCCACAACTCCGGGGGGTCCCCAGAGCGGATCTGAGGGGTCCCCAGGGGGATCTGGGGGTCCCCAGAGCGGATCTGGGGGTCCAGGGGGTTTTGGGGGTCACTCACCGGACCAAGTGGCCAATCTTGAGGCGCAGGGAGGGACCCTCGGCCGAGCCCCCCGACTCCTGCACCGTGCGGGGGGGGTCAAGGAGCCTGCACGGGGTTTTGGGGGGTCTCGGGGGGTTTGGGGGGGTCCTGGGATTTGGGGGGAGGGCCCGGAGGGCTTGCGGCAATCCGGGAGGGGGTCCTGGCGGGTCCCCAGAAGTTCGGGGGGTCCCAAAGGGATCAATGAAAAGGATTTTAGGGGTGTTCCGGGGGGTTTGGGGATGTCTCGGGGGGTTTGGGGGTGTCTCGGGGGGTTTGGGGGTGTCTCGGAGGGTTTGGGGGGGTGCTGGGGGGTCGCAGGGGGTCTCGGGGGGTTCCCCAAGGGTAAAGCCTCAGCAGTTTCCAGACCACCTTTACCTGCGGCAGGCACCAGGGGTGGAGTTCTGGGGGAAATCCCAGGAAGTTTGGGGGTCCTTTGGGATTTGGGGGTCCCGGGAGGTTTTAGGGGGGGGTCCCGGGGGGTTTTGGGGGGGTTTCGGGCGGTCTCCAAGGATATAGGGTCAGCAGCTTCCCGGCCACCTCTGCCTGGGGCAGGTACCAGGGGTGCGTCGCCAGGAAGAGTCGGACGAGCTGGGGGTCCCGAACCTTCCCCTGCGCGTCTGGAAGGGCGGGGGGGTCACCCCAAAAACACAGAGACCCCCCCGAGACCCCCCAAAACC